CCCCCTTTACTAAACCTAAGCTTCGCAAACTTGACTTAAATTCGATTAAATATTAATATAAATTATGAAACATTGTGAGTCCCCATGTTTGTGTCTCCACTTCTACAAAAAGCTTCACTTTGTTGGTGTTTGTCTGGACCTCTGGTTCTACTTCTACTGCTATACAAACGCACACACATACATACATACATACACACACACATACAGACACACTAACTTCGCACATGGTAGTCAAAAATCTTAAAAGCAATTGACGATATTATGTAGTGCGTTCCATCTCTGTCTCTATAGCAACGTGTTTGGGGGTTCTGTCACCGGTTGTCTATAGTAGCTAATTTGCACCATCTTGAATTTTCAAAGTACAATGTTTCAGCTAACTGTCTCCACTGACATAATCGTGGAGAGAATAATGGATACGAACCCACTAAATAGAAACAACGGCACGGCAGTGCCACATTGTTTTAATGTAGACTTCAATCACTTTACTAATAAAGATGACAAAATGATTTGGACGAATTCTATTCTGTGTCGTTATAAAACCAAGCACTGTGCAACAATTATAATTACATCTTAGTATAACTAGTTGCTGTAGCCAGGTATACTATATTAATTCTACGTTTGATTTTGTCTCAAAAAATCACTCGAACGTGCTCTTTTAAGGTTTTACGTGTGATGGAAAGGTGTCGGTGGCATATCTAAAATTATATGAGTTTATGGTACTAGAATTCAAGTGACTGGGCCACGTAAGGAAGTTGTTAATCAAATTAACCAGAGTCTCGTTGGCGCAAAAGAAACTCGATGTGCTCCCGGCCCAACTGCAAACACCTCAGGGCCTCGATCACTGTATGGCAACGTGTATAGGTCCGATTTTGTTTTGTACACCTGAAACTATACCGATTTTTCAACATTTACATAACGCTTAATGGAATTATTGAACATTGTGCCAAACTCGGACACTGAATGATCGCTACCTTTGCGAACTCCCCTGTCAGTCGCCCTTGTTTGCGGCTCAATTATGTCTTGGAAATGGAGTGTTGTTGTCATCTAAAGAGTAAGAAAACGCGGAGTCTGCCACAAATACGCTACATGTGGCGACTACTACAACTCGATTTGCGACTTCTATAGCGATCACAGTACTTGCTACTACTTCAAGTGATTATTTCAGTTTGATGCTGTAAGTTTTATTATGCATGCCAATCAATTTAACACAGCAAGGTCCCGCCTGGCTTTCAATAGTTGTTATGTTATGCCATGATATGCAAGCAAACTATTTACGAACTCGTGTGTTCAAATATTATAAACCTAAATGTCCTAGATTTGACAAGTAATTATATTTAATTACTTCGTTACTCCACACGTGTACGAGTTATATCCAAGATTCAAAAAGCAATGAGCATTTTATGAATGATGCAATGAAAAAAATAATATTTATCCACTGTTTAGCAGAAGTTATTAGTATTGAAATACATCGCTCGAGTTGTCGTATAATAAACTATTATATAAAACATGTTTGTCACAATGAAATAACTAATATAATGATTATACATTGGCAATGTAATCGAGCAATTGTACTTCAAGCCGAGTGAAGTGTCACTTATACGGTCTAACATTCATCGCCCTTATAAATAACATGGGGATTAAGTTAACAGTCATCCTCACACCCTCAAAGTCGGGTCGAATAAATTTACTCATCAACCCTAGTTTAATAACGCTCGTCGATCCTTAACATATGAGGACCCCTTCCTTCGAGGGCGAAGTCTGTCATCACAGCGTGACACGTTGGCTTGGAGCTGTCCCTTTTTTCGGTACGCCATAATGATAATATGTACAATTCGCAACGAAAAATGTCGCATAAAACATTACGAAATAGTACTCTTGATTGGCATGTCATGAAAGGAATGACATCATCAATTCCTCGTCATCATAGTGACAAACTCTGGAAGATATAATCGATTACAAAAACATGATTATATTTCAAGTCATGATCGATGTACAGGTGTTCATAAAATCCCATGATATTCATGATTAATAGATCATAACTCTTTTGCAAATTATACGACACAAAAATGAAGTATGGCTTGCCAGATACGAATAAATATAACGGGTTGATATATTTCCCATAAGTTGAACTCGCTAACGATCACGATGAACTGTCTCAGTCACGGTGACATAGCGTCACTCTAAAAACTGCATTATTTCGAATAATCGAGTCCAGATAAATCGTAATTCTCTTTACGAGTACATTTATCCTACCTTTAAAATTGACTTGACCGTCACCATCGGTGTCAGCTTCTTTGATCATTTCCCTTACTTCATCTTCCGTCATCTCCTCGCCCAGATTATACATAACATTGCGTAATTCATTGACGCTGATGAACCCATTACCGTCTTTGTCAAATATACGGAAGGCTTCCTGGAGGTCATCCCCGTTGTCTTCTTCCATTTTAGTGGCCATGATTGATAGAAATCCTTCAAAGTCGATTGCACCGTTTCCTGATAATGAAATTGCATGTGTGTGTAAGTAAATACATAATAGTCATTATGGCCAAATTATTATCAATCGATTAAGTATCAACCGATCAAACTCTGGTGGCAGCCATGTTTGTTTTAATTATTAGAGGACGCTTACGCGCGTAATATTCCATATTTGGAATTCGCATCTCCTAATATGGTAGGACAAAAATATCCCGTAAAATACCACAAAATTACGGCACACTGTAACTTGTGGCATTACGGTGACAGATGTATAATAATTATTATTATTAAAACATATAGGACTTCATCCTCACCTTCTGTGTCAACTTCGGCAATCATACCTTCTAGTTCTAGTTCTGAGGGTCGATGACCCAATGATTTCATCACACCGCCAAGTTCAACCTTGGTTATGCAACCATCTATGTTTGGCCCAAACAATGCAAAGGCTTGTTTGAGTTCTAAAAAGTAAACAAATGTTGATTCTTATACTGGTAGTTTAGTGAAGCGCCATCAGCGGGAAACTATGGTTATGGTCAGAACATATTTTATTTATGTTAGAGATAATCTACACAGCCCTACAAATCATCAACACCATTAAAACTTACATGGCAAGATATGGAAGATGAGACGGTGTAACAGCGCCCTCCTGAATTTTAATAAAGAAAATTAAACAAAAATATTTACCCTCTTTCTTTCCTCCTTCCACTCTTATCACAACTATCTATAGTAGCCAAGCCCGGGCTGTGGAACTGGACCAGGCCGGATTTAACCCGTACTTAGCGCTTCTTGGCACGGGCTAAGATATTTAACCTCTTAACCCGTGTCATGGAGGTTAGAAGCTGTACGTGAACGCTACTTATAAATCTTTATTAAAAATTTATTTCAAGTTGGTGACTAGATTTACAATACTTGACTCTATGTAAATTCCTAGATTACACATCGCAAACACCAAATAAACGATAATGTTGATAATAAGCATTGCTTACATAGGAACATGGACGTACTAACATGGATTTTGTGATAAGAGTATTTATTTTGTTTAAATTTCAAATTATTTCGACTTTCTGTGGTATACCCCCGCTACATAGCAGAGGCGATCGGGCTATATTAGGTATTCCTTGATCACAAAGTGAGTTCACCCAAAGACTATATAGAAGACTATATAGTCTTTGGTTCACCACGCTTTTGTAACGGAGAAACGCACGTGTTCCAGCGAATACCACTGTGTGCGTACACAAACTGGAGGCATTCTACTATAAAGTCCAACTAATGCGAAACATGCGCTTCAAACCGAGTCTACATGTTTTAACAACATATAACGGTTACTGTGCATGGTGAGTGTAAGTGCAAACAAAACCTCAATACATACCTTGAATCTGCTTGTCTGATAAATCGTATTTTGCGCTCTGTTAAGAAAGAACAATGACGAAGATTTAAGAGCCAATTGTATAATTGTAAGGCGTCCAGCGGTTGACAACCACGGTTGCTATTCAACAAATACTATCAACTTCCAAAGTAAAAGATTTGCGAGTGAAAATATATCGGTTCACAGCAACGTTTTAATTTATAATACATAACGGACACTTTCTTTACTTTATTGTTGAACGTGGGTGTGAGCAAATCCGACAGAATAACAACTTAAAATCATCGGTTTATTTCACACGCCCCATAATTGGTAGCAGGACACGAACCTACCCGAGTCATTGACTATGCGTAAGCACTTCAAGTGAACCTGATTGCACACATAAACACCAGATTACGTCAATGGCCTGTCAAATAGACTACAAAATATTAACTTATGATCGAAAGATATATCACTATGGGCGTACTTTGTATTTTGTGTCAAAGTTTGAATCTAATGTTGACATTTTAGCATCATGTTATGTTAATCAAGTTCATTATAGATGTATATGATTAATTGCTACGGAATGCACGAACTCAATTAATTTTCTGTTAGCCGTATGGGAAGCGGAGAGCTGCATCACAGACTATTAGCTGTTTGAGTACGAACCAGTCAATACACTGCACTTTTTAACGTTATCCGATAATATCGTCTAAAAATGTTTGAAAATGGCTATGTTAGACAGGACTGTCTGGGCAACTATTGTGACAGTTCGTTTTTCTCCGATATTATCGTCTAATAATGTCTAAAAAATTGTAAGTTAGACATCTCTGCCAATCTTTCATTAGATTTTATTAGACGATTATTATCCGATTATAATTCACTTGCAAAATTTGTTTAATATTTGTCCAATTTAATATTGTTATTTGTTATCTCAATGGTAGACATGTTAGTTATCTCATGGAAGGTGCAACCGTTTGTATCATCCATGATTATCTTAATACGTGCTTATCAAATAGGGCGTTTCAGGTCAATGGCCACTAAAACAACAGACGTCACCGAACCGTATTGACGAAGGCCTTTGTCTGCTTACGCAACGTTTGTTCTCAAATACATGTCGAGTATTTTATCAATAGCTCAATAGAAATATAACATTCCAGTTCTAAAACAATTTGTGTATTATTGTCCTTAGAATGTCTTTTCTGAAAATAACGACACACAGTCACATACGTGAATAAGTGTTTACAACTGCAGTGCTGTGGATTGAAATCGGGAAATGTTGTTTCTAACATATATATCTTCTGAACAGAGATGGTTTTCGAACACAGTCCGCATTGCACAACTATTTAAATCATTGCTACGTCGTTCAACAAGCCATGTGTTTATCTACCAGTGAGTCATGGTTGTACACTAAACATTATATAGTGATCAGTCCTGACTGATTCCGTTGATTACACCTCGGAATGACCGATTCTACGGAAAGCACAGCTGCATTTTGTTGTGTCTTGTTTTGCCCATTTTTGTTATAATCATGACACATGTAAACAACAACTATGTATACAGTTGACCTCAGATACCATTTTCTGTGTTGTTATATGAGATGTCCCTCATATGTTTGGTATGTTCCCTGTACACAATCACTGAACATGTACTGAACACCAAGTAAATAAATATAATTAAGCCGTACTTGTAACCTTAGATAATGATAAAAAGATGTTCTCTAGTTATTAGTAAATAAATAAATAAATTAGTAAATAAATAAAGTATGCCGTATAATAAATAAATATAGGTATGCCATATGGATGACGCGTTAATACGTATGGACATTTCCGTTGCCAAAAATTCATGCTGATGACCGTCCGAAATGTAACCTGTTAAAGCGTTTTACGCTGTGTTGAAATTCCTTGACAGACACAAATATAGCGAAACAATGTCTATTATTATACCTGTTCGTGGGTGGTATTATATCCATTGTTCGTTTCTATTTATGAACACAAGTCGCTGGCCCCCGCGTCCTGTACTAACATTCCAACACCAATTGATTTTTCACTAAATTTGGAAAATACTTGATTTACGAGTCAATGTTAAAGAAATATACAAATATACCGGATTTAATGGTTTCCTGTGCCGTATTAACTAAACTTGTTTACGAAACATGTTAAATATGAGTGTATACGACACAAAACAAGTATGAGTCAACATTGTCTTCTCGTAACCCAAACAAATGAGTGAGAAGGATAATACTCCCACATTCATACTCCATCGATTGAAACTCTATAAGCGGCCATATGTAATAAAAATTATATCATTTAAATCACAATGATTGATTTTACTATATACGCAGTTCTTAGGTTGTGTATATTGTATTTGCCCTTTATGGCGGCGTTACATTACAACCAGCCTCGTATCATCGTCTTGAAAACAATCCTTAATCTAGCAGTCCAATTTACGGGACTCGTCTTATATATCCGTGATATATGTATGGTGATTGGATAATAACATGATGACAAAACCTACGAACATACCATGCATTGTATATATATACAGTCTGAATGTCATCTTTAGCAGTTGCGCCATGGATCTACCAAGGTCTATGGTTGCGTGGATATTTGAAACAGTTTTAATAGTGTAAATTATACCACGAGAGTGCATCACCCTGGGGTAAAAACATCGCCAGTTCAAATGACCGTAGTAAATCAACCATGTGTAGAGGAACAGAGAATATTGCATTTAATTATCATACTCACCATATCGATAGATAGCGCGATGACAATTATGAACTAAGTTGCAATGACTTTGAACTCCACTTCACGATGTTTACTGGGCGACAGTTTGTACGTGAATGGCCCAACGTACTCTTTTACGTTATTTTTAGTGACTGCAGAGATAATAAATTGACACAATGCTTATCTCTCACCTTTGCATGCCTCAGTAGTCAGTTTTCATTTGCATATTACTACCCCCTCCTGCGTGTAAACATCGACGGACCATTACAGTGCAGTTAATGCCATGCCATTCTTTTGCCGTAAGCAATAAATCCTGCCTTTCATAGGCAAATACCACTGTTCTATTAAGAGAGTTGCCAAATACCGGTGTTTTTTGAAAAGATACAGCGCTTCGTAGAATCGTATATGACCTTTTTCAATTCTTCGCTTCTTCATTAAATAAGTTGCATATTTGCCACAACTATTGGTAACCGCGACAACAATGTCGAGCACGTAGAACGATAAACAAATACAATAGTATTGTTAATAGGGCAAGTTGAGGGCGGTATATATACTTACTAGTATGTTATGGCGTGATACACATTATTGACGTTGCAGTGTTGATAGAGAAAACAAATATACGACTAGATTGTACATACAGAAAGGTAGATTCAAATAATATGATGCGTCATCATAATCTATTGACAAAACGCCGAAACTTCCAAACATACACGCTGACGTGTATACGGTGTGAACAGGTACTTTAAGTCACTCAGACCACGCACTTCATATTACTAGTATATTGTGCCGTGTTTCATGTAAAGACAGCAACATGTATACGATATTGCTGTCACGGGGAAGCTCAGAATAAATGAGGAATGTCACGAGTCTAAAGTTTGTCTCAGTTCTGTGTCATTATTTGGATGAATATTGGAATCACATCTAGACAATATTGTCGGTGTACGACATGTAGAGAAGATCAATACAAACAAATGAGGCTATGTAGAATGTCATGTATGATTCGTCTAAAACATTTATTACACAAATTTAATACTACCTTATATATTATTCACGAATGCTATATATATAATTATCGGACAATAACAGAAAGCATTCCGTGTAAATGTACCCTCAGCTGTTAACAAAATAAAACAATAAAAAATGATAATTTAAAAAACAATACCATTAAATAAACAAAGCTGATCATAAAAAATACAGTATACGTTTTGTATACAATAAAATATATCAGATATAAATAGTTCGTGTTCTATACGCAAAGTTCCTCGTATGGCGGAGCACACCACCCTGAAACACCACCAGTCAGTGTGGCAGCGCTTCCAAGGATTCTCCAGGTTTTACACATTTTTTCTTTCTGTTATTAACATTCATCGTCCTAACATTCGTTCTCTTCTTGTAGCCGTGTACTGTCACGTTCTCTGTTACTAACATTCGTTCTCTTCTAGTAACTGTTCACCACCTTCAATGTTACCAGCTATCATGAATTTTCTGAAATCTGATGTCAAAAACATAATCCTTAGTAAAGATGGGAATAAAAAAATACAGTCCGAGCACAAGCAGTATTGACAATGGGGGGGGGGGGGCTAAAATGTTGTACTCGATAAAGTTTTCAAGAGTATACTCGTAAAGAATATGTGTAAGTCATATATAGGTATGTTGCTAGTTTGATCGTACCTTCGAAATATATCTTTCCATCGCCATTGATGTCCAAATCTTGCGTCATTTCCATCACTTCGTCGTTATCCACAGCTTCCAAAAGCACCAACACGTGTTTTATTTCCTCCGTGTGTATGTAACCACTTCCCTCTAAATCGAATACTCTGAAGGCTTCCTTCAATTCCTCTTCCCCATCTTCTTCACTCAAGATCTTCATCAATATCTGAAGAAAATCGCTAAAATCCAGTCTGCCATCCTCTGGATAAAATACAAACAAATTTACGTTTTGTATGAGAACTTTGGTCTATTTGATTGCAATATGTCTTAGAAACCATGATAAAGGCTGTTTATATCCATGATTTTACTATTTGTCGTATCCGCACTTACTATCGAGATCAACTTCATTTCTAATTCCATGTAGCTGAGGTTCCGATGGATTCTGTCCTAGAGATTTGAGGAGCCTACCGACATCTTTGGCAGATATGAAACCGTCTTCATCTTCATCCATCTGGCGGAAAGCGTCTTCATATTCTGGGAAATGTGAATTGATATCAGTGAAGCCGTAATACAGAAAAACAGAGCCAACTGAATTACTAAGGTATACTTGTACCATAGTTGTTAAGTGACAATAAGCAATACGTACTGTCAACGTTGGTAAGAATTGTGTCTAGGCGTGCTGATGATGTACAACTATATATACTGACTTGTATAGCAGTAATTATATACTAGTACCAGGATATAACAGACGTGCCAGTGTCAGTTGATGTTTTGAAGTTGAAGTGAAGCAATTTTAGCCCGGTTCTGACAGCGGGGTATGGTCTAATTGAGGAAAAACTTTTGTAGTGGGAATATTCTTACGTGGACAACGTGACACATTCTTAGGTCACCCAAAGATGACACAAACAGAATGCTATGGTAATGATATAATAACGCCATAACATTGGACCAATCAAACGCGCATCTTGACCTAATTGTTTATAAACTTTCAATTTTAATAGAATAATTTATTAACGTCACGCTGTACCATATGTTTTAATTACAACGAGCGAAAAACAGACTACCAGTAGTTGTTGTTTTACCGTTGTGTCTTTTTTAAATACGGAGCTAGTATTTCACGTAAAAAAAATATGCACTATATATTAATTAGAAGAATGTCGAAGGGATCCAACACCGTATAGTAAACACAGCGTATGCTACTATACTGTACAAAGTAAGATAATTTATTCAATTTGTTTTTGTATAATATAAAAAAATTATTAACTTAGTCTGGCGATTTTAAAGTTTGGATCCCCCTAAACAAATCCTGTATCCGCCCCTGATCTTGCTTTGACTAACGCCCGGCCATCAACCCACATTTACGACATTTTATCGGAGCCGAACTATTGCTCCTCTCTCTACATGAGAATATCTAGTTCGGCCCGATTCATTCAGAGTCAAACAAAACAGCTCTCTCAATCATTTAAGAGCCAATATGTTTTCAATATTTGAGATCTGTTTTTAATTTAAACGGCAACATTTCCTAGATATTAATGTAACCCGATGACCATCCCAATTGGATTACCTGTCACGACAGGACCTACATGAAGAAACGGGTACAATCGGAGAAGACAAGTAAGAATGCAGCATGAATACAGCAAACGATTTGTTCCAACCGCCACCGACGAACAGCACTTAAGAGCCAATATGTTTTCAATATTTGAGATCTGTTTTTAATTTAAACGGCAACATTTCCTAGATATTAATGTAACCCAATGACCATCCCAATTGGATTACCTATCACGACAGGACCTACATGAAGAAACGGGTACAATCGGAGAAGACAAGTAAGAATGCAGCATGAATGCAGCAAACGATTTGTTCCAACCGCCACCGACGAACAGCACTTATTTTCGCGATCGAGGGATTGCAATTCGTTCACATCTACAGTTTTCGCACAGAATTTACAAAATATTGTGAGAATGGAACGTAATTTGAAGGAGACAAAGGGCATGATTTCGGCCCTGATGCATTTGCGCGTTCAGGGCGACGTTGGGGCCCAGTCCTACCGAGCTCAACACCGAAAATTATCGGAGCCGAACTAGGCTTGAGCTAGGCTAAACGCGTTTGCACCGCGATGTTTGCCGGCTCGAGCAGTTGGGCTCCGACAAAAAAGATCTTATGTAAACGAGGTATATAAGACCTAGTTACGCCAATTTTTGTCTTTTCAAAATATATTTTGAAATGATGAAATAAATAAGTTGAAATACAAGCAAAATGGTTACCGTATACATTCGATTGTTACATTACATTACGTGTATAAAAACATTCTAGCTTCCAAATAGCAGTAAGTTCAATATCACCTTACCTTCAAGCTGTCCTGGTTTTAGCTGCAGGGATCTCAACTTTATAAAATAAAAATAAATAAATAAAAAATATATTCATCTCTTCATGTGACACAGAAAGCAATAAATAACTAATAAGCAAATAGCGTTGTTCTGAATTTAGACATAGTACAAATAAGAGGGTAGGTTGGTGAGGTGAGGTGATGTGGATTGTGAGATGCAATGGTAATGAGTCAGTCCTAATCTGAAAGAAGAGTCATGGGCAAATTGAAGTATATACGTATTGGCGTTGTTTTATTGTTTCCGGTGATCAGATATCCAACAATAGTTGAGTTTACCTACAGCATATAGGGACACTAAATGTCACGTGACACATACTAGTGATATGGGTATTCTATGTATAACTGCATTGTTTTCAGAGCAATTAATCCAACACGTATAATGAAATAATGAAGCCCCAGCCTCCATGTGAATCAACGGGCGACAGAGCCACTCGATAGACTCCAATTTCCTTTCACCTCAACTTGTACACACTTCCGGCACTCCTTTAGACAATTTGTTTCTGAAGCGCTGGCCACGGTCCCAACCTTGGTAACTGACTTACCTTGTCTGTATCTATATCGTCGTTGGTGGTGTCAAAAAATTTGTAATCCATCGTTGGACTGTCTGCCTCCGAAAAGCAGTGACAGCAAAGTAAAATTACTTATTCAGTGTATTGGAGGTCAGTTGAAAATGTCGCATTGTGTGTGCTGGTGTACAGTGGGCTATGCATACCCGCATGCGTAGAGGACTGGCTCTACGCGTATAGTATTTATAAACACAGAGAGAGAGTTAGAAGGGACACTCATTATGCATAACAATAGAGTACTTTCAAGTTTCAATTATAGCAGCGGCTGTGCTATTGTAGGGTATGACAGCCGATTCGGACTTGTTACTTGTCTACAAAAGACAATACAGCCTGGAGTAACAACAACTTGATTCTTTTGTGAACACCGGACCATGCGTAGACGAATGCGGCAAATAGACGTGTTATTAGTAATAAGTATTATTTACATGTGCAAGTGAAACAGAACTGGCTAGCAAGTAAACTGTAACATAAAAACATTCAAATTATTATAGAAATGATACCGATATATTTATCAATAACAACTTTTATTATAGAACAGGGAAAACAAAAAAATCAATGACCATAGTAAAATGAAATGGAAAGCAAATAAATAGTTTACCCAAATAAATAGTTTACCCAAATAAATAGTTTACCCGTTGCTCAATAATTAACACTATACACAGGAACAATTAAACACTGACTTGAATGTTAGTATATATAGTTTTGCTAGCAGATTCGATTTCTGGCACAAAGTATTATAGCGCCACCAAGTGTCCGAATATAGTCTGGGTCTGTGGGGGAAAACAGCATACCAGTAACTACATAGAGGTACAGTCAGGGATTCCATCTCACAGGTAGTTGCATACAGGGATGTGAAAAAATCCATCATACATGTGGTTATACAATGAGGGAATACAGCATACAGGGCTACCTAGTATCACCATGCTGTGACGGAACAAATCATACAGGTTACTGCATAGAAACATGTGAGGGAATACAATTAACCACATAGTGAGACTTTGCATAATTGTATCACACAGGAAGCTACATAGATGATTATAAGAAGATTACAGCATAGACGTAGCCACATAGAAGGGTGTAAAGGAATAATAAATTACATAGAGGGATGTGAGGGTATACAGCATACATGTAGCTACATAGAAGGGTGTAAAGGGATAATAAATTACATAGAGGGATGTGAGGTTATACAGCACACATGTAGCTACATAGAAGAGTGTAAAGGGATAATAAATTACATAGAGAGATGTGAGGGTATACAGCATACATGTAGCTACATAGAAGGATGTAAATGAATAATAATTACATAGAGGGATGTGAGGGTATACAGCACACATGTAGCTACATAGAAGGGTGTAAAGGGATAATAAATTACATAGAGGGATGTGAGGTTATACAGCACACATGTAGCTACATAGAAGGATGTAAATGAATAATAATTACATAGAGGGATGTGAGGGTATACAGCACACATGTAGCTACATAGAAGGGTGTAAAGGGATAATAAATTACATAGAGGGATGTGAGGTTATACAGCGTACATGTATCTACATAGAAGGGTGTAAGAGGTAATAAATTACATAGAGGGATGTGAGGGTATACAGCGTACATGTATCTACATAGAAGGGTGTAAAGAGATAATAAATTACATAGAGGAATGCGAGGGTATACAGCACACATGTAACTACATAGAAGGGTGTAAAGGGATAATAAATTACATAGAGGGATGTGAGGGTATACAACATACATGTAGCTCCATAGAAGGGTGTGAAGGAATATTAAATTACATAGAGGGATGTGAGGGTATACAGCATACACGTGGCTACATAGAAAGGTGCAAAGGAGTAATACATTACATAGAGGGATGTGAGGGTATACAGCATACACGCAGCTACATAGAAGGTTGTAAAGGGATACTAAATTACATAGAGGGATGTGAGGGAATACAACACACATGTAGCTACACAGAAGGGTGTAAAGGGATAATAAATTACATAGAGGGGTGTGAGGGTATACAGCATACATGTATCCACATAGAAGTGTGTAAAGGGATAATAAATTACATAGAGGGATGTGAGGGTATACATCATACATGTAGCTACATAACAGGATGTAAAGGGATACTAAATTACATAGAGGGATGCGAGGGTATACAGCATACATGTAGCTACATAGAAGGTTGTAAAGCAATAATAAATTACATAGAGGGATGTGGGGGTACACACCATACACGTAGCTACATAAAAGGATGTAAACGGATAATAAATTACATAGAGGGGTGTGAGGGTATACAGCATGCATGTAGCCACATAGAAGTGTGTAAAGGGATAATAAATTACATAGAGGGATGTGAGGGTATACAGCATACATGTAGCTACATAGAAGGGTGTAAAGGGATACTAAATTACATAGAGGGATGTGAGGGTATACAGCATATATGTAGCTACATAGAAGGTTGTAAAGCAATAATACATTACATAAAGGGATGTGAGGGTATACAGCATACACGTAGCAACATAGAAGGTTGTAAACGGATAATAAATTACATAAAGGGATGTGAGGGTTACAGCATACACGTAGCAACATAGAAGGGTGTAAAGGAATACTAAATTACACAGAGGTATGTGAGGGTATACAGCATACATGTAGCTACATTGAAGAATGTAAAGCAATAATTTAATTACATAGAGGGATGTGAGGGTATACAGCATACACGTAGCTACATAGAAGGAAGTAGAGGGATAATAAAATACATAGAGGGACGTGATGGTATACAGCATACACGTAGCTACATAGATGGTTGTAAAGGGATACTAAATTACATAGAGGGATGTGAGGGAATACAACACACATGTAGCTACATAGAAGTGTGTAAAGGGATAATAAATTACATAGAGAGATGTGAGGGTATACAGCATACATGTAGCTACATAGAAGGAAGTAGAGGGATAATAAATTACATAGAGGGATATGAGGGTATTCAACACACATGTAGCTACATCGAAGTATGTGAAGGAATACTAAATTACATAGAGGGATGTGAGGGTATGCAGCACACATTTAGCTACATAGAAGGGTGTAAAGGGATAATAAATTACATAGAGGGATGTGAGGGTATACAACACACATGTAGCTACATAGAAGGGTGTGAAGGAATACTAAATTACATAGAGGGATGTGAGGGTATACAGCATACATGTAGCTACATAGAAGGGTGTGAAGGAATAATAAATTACATAGAGGGATGTGAGGGTATACAGCATACATGTAGCTACATAGAAGGGTGTGAAGGAATAATAAATTACATAGAGGGATGTGAGGGTATACAGCATACACATAGCAACATAGAAGGTTGTAAACGGATAATAAATTACATAAAGGGAATGTGAGGGTATACAGCATACACGTAGCAACATAGAAGGGTGTAAAGGAATACTAAATTACACAGAGGTATGTGAGGGTATACAGCATACAT